CGGATCGAGCTTTTAAAGATCGATTTCCAGTACAGTTTGAAAAAAGCAAAAAATTTGGCAAAATTGACAATGGATCTTGGCTTAAAGTAAGTTTCGTATTCAAATTTGATTGCGCCCTCCGCTGACGATCCAATGTTTTAAACAATCTTTTAGTCTACGCTTAAAACACTTTTTTAACCGCCGTGGGCGACGGCGGAAAAGCTTTTTATGAGGCTTTGTTGCCCTGCTGATCGGAAAACTGTTGTTATACGCCGCCGACCGACGCGCAGGTCTAATTAGAAACACCTATTGTTAGTGGCAACATATCGCGAAAATCTTATTCTTCGATGTAACGGGTGGCGCAGAATAAAACGGACTATTCTGTTTCCTCTATAACTTCGTCAGTTTAAATCTGATTGGGCCAATTTTTTCCCATCAGAATCGTCATTCAATTCTCCACAAAACCCTGTGTAAAAGATTTTTGTAAACTACAAAATGGCTAAGTTCTAAAACGAAGAAAAGAGGTCCGAAAATCTTCAACTTTCCGCTCAAAATGCATCAACATTTGGAGTATGTTTCGACAATTTATGCGCAGGCTTAAATTAAGGGAGAAACATTTGGCGGCATTTTCAAATACGCTCTGTCCGATATCCTTGAAAATGGCCTTCGCCTATTAAATCGATATTTTCTGAAAACTCGTCCAAAACGCCTTAATTTGGGTTTTCACGAAAACCTACCGCAAACAAAACTTTGCATGACTCGAACGAGTGTACAAGAATGTAGTCGAGTGTACTAGCCTTCAAAGAAAAAAAATCGTCAAAAAATAACGCTTTTTTACTGAATGGCATGCGTTTTCGTGCAAGCATCAAAAACACAAAATGAAAGTAGAGTTTTTTCGAAAAAGAGAAAACATTTTATGCTAAATTTTTTACTCATTTTTTGATAAAAAAATTCTCAAAGACATGAATCTTGACCAGAATTTGATGCTCTTTAACATGGTCTACTTAGTTTTTTCGTAGCTCACCACGTGAAAAGCAAATTTTAGAAAAAACAGGGTTGTGTGCTTGATAGCTGAAGATTTTCGGACCTCTTTTCTTCGTTTTAGAACTTAGCCATTTTGTAGTTTACAAAAATCTTTTACACATGGTTTTGTGGAGAATTGAATGACGATTCTGATGGGAAAAAATTGGTCCGATCAGATTTAAACTGACAGAGTTATAGAGGAAACAAAATAGTCCGTTTTATTCTGCGCCACCCGTTATATATTAATGTACAATGAAAAAACAATATACAGATAACTATATAATTCTCTTATTGATGGATTATTTTTGAACATAAACATATAGTTAATATAAGACTGAACATCAAGTATACACTAAAATGTGTAGTTGTTGAAGAATTTTGTGGAAATGGAACAGTTAATCCAATCGGGGACAACTTTGCATACTGATTTAACGTTGTATTTGAAATTATTATTATTAAATTGAGTGGTGAAGTATTATTAATTGTTATTTGTTGACGATAGACTTCGTATCCATAAAAGAAGACCTTAATTATGATAATAGAGATAATATATGTAACAATTGGCAGATATCTATCGACATTTTTACCTTTAATATGTAGTCACCCGGTAATAGAATTCTCCAAAATTCTCCCAAAGCAGTTACGTTGATAACTGGTCGTCTATTATTAATCATTATCTGCGTAAACGGTATCGGGTTGTTATTTTCATCAAATACAAATCCTTTGACTCCTAATAAATAAAAATAATAAATAAAAAATTAATCTTAATTAAAATATACGTCTACCTCTTTGTGCTTGTAGTAAAAGTTCAATCATTGCATCTCGATTATAATTGTAATAATCGTCTAATGAGTTCAACGTGCTCAGAGGATATTTACAACAACTTATTTCCATCGTCATTTCAATTGTACCATAATTTAAATATCCATAATCTTGCATAGAACCTTTGTCATAAGAAAAAAATGAAGATGTGATGCTAAACTGAAAAAGTTTCAATACAAACCCACAATTTCGAACCAATCTGCTCCGCGTATAACATGAGTTGAAGGTAACACACCACTATCACAATTTTCATTTGTAGCATTTGTCATATTTACGTAGGCATTCGCAAATAACATATAAATATCATCATCGTCTGTGATAGCTGAATTGTGGTTATCTGAAAAAATATACCAAAATATTTTGAGGTAAAATAAAAACAATAAAAATTCTAATTTATTATTACAATATCGATCATAAGGTACATTTATAACAAAGGCACCACCATGATAATTTGCCGATAAAACAAACGTTATATTTTTTAACCAATCGATAACTGCCTTCGTTTCAGTTGCCGTTATGGATGATATTAACGGTTGTGAGAGGTAATCAGGAAAATTCCGATTAAGATCGATATTATTGGCTGTATAACTGCAAACAATCGAATGTTCTAATATAGAATGCAAATAGAATCCAGTAAGAAACCTACCGTCCGTCAGCCGAACCGCAATCACCCTCCTTTGATATCTCATATCCGTCTGGATTCATCGATGGCATAATATGAATTCGAGATAAATTCATTAGTCTTTGTACTTGGACGTCATTTGATGTTAACAAATATTCAACGAGATGAAGAAGTACTTCACGACCTACAACCTACTTTAGCTTTTAATTAATGAAAATTATTGATGTAGATTAGCTTACTTCATTTCCATGCATATTTCCAATATATTTTACTTCAGGGCGTAACAAGCGATGTTCGTTTGGAGCAGAGGCGCTTAGAGCGATAGCCCATAATGAACGACCAAAACAACAGAGATTGTTACGATAAGAGAATAATTGTTATTTTAAATATACTACCTTGTTCAGATTTGCCTACTTCGTATAGATAGGATGATGCTTTGTATTCATCTGCAATTGTTTGCAAAAAATTTGTCATTTGAGTATAATTATGATAATTGAAGTCAAGTGTTGTATGAACAATTGGTGAACAACTAACAATCATAATAATTAGCCATCTGACATGCATCTGAAGAAGATGAGCGATATGAGTATATTTCCACTCCTCTGATCTATATTTATTTAATTCTAGAAGTGCTTACTGTAAATATATGATTAGTGCTGTTATTGCAGCGACTACCCAATGAATTTTTTTGATATCAAAAATTTCCTTTGGATGAGTTACAATTTATATGTAGCACCTTTAAGATGTTTGAACACATTTAATGAATAAAAAACATTTTAACGTCTTCGCATGTCTTAAAAGTTAATGCATTTACGAGCCTGATTTTTTTAATTTTTCTAATGCTTTTTTACAAATTCAACATCTTCAAAACCAACGCATTCAAACTTCTTAAATTTGTTCACACGTTTAAATGCATAAAAAGACTTTCTCATCCATTTAATGGAGTCAGATGTATTCAGATTAATTTGATGCATTCACCCGCCTTAAGAATTAATATATTCAAATGCATGAAATCTCTTAACGCATTCGAATTGCATTAAAATTATTTTTCGTAAATTTAATACATTCACACATTTTAAAAGCTGTCCAATGAGTTCACAGGAGTTTAAAAATAATACATGTGAGCGCATTAATGCTTTTTAAAAACAAAAATGATGCTAGAATTCTATAAGGAAATATTCTTACTTTTTTCTGACAATGTCATCGGATTTCTCTCAAAAAATTAGATCTAGAGTGATTGCGTCTGTTCAATCAGACATACTGTACAAATGTTTCCAAAAACTGATATCTTCTTTTGATATGATCATCTATGAATATAAGCAAATGCATTAGAAATTTAATGTGTTTTCATGAATTAAATCATTTTAATGCGTTTGAATATATTAAAATCCTTAATGCGTTGTATAGCATTGAGTTTATAAGATGTTAAAAGTCAAAAATCATCAAAATGTGTTAAAAACGTTTTTCATTAATTTCATTTTAACGCACTTAATGCGTTAAAATAACTTAATATGAGGCTAAAACACGTTGTTTCGTGTTTTCCCATTTAGGCTAACGCACGAATGATTTTTTAATAGATGCGGCGAACTTTTTCGTTTACTTTTGGTATGTAGAATTGAACGCATGTAAATGTGTTAGAAACTTTTTTAAAGTCAATTAATGCGCATGAATTTACTACATTACTGTTTCATGCTATTAAATGCGTTTAAAAATGATTAACATGTTAAAAGGAAATGTTTGGTATCAAAAAAATCCATTGGGATACGACTAGCGGTCGTTAGTTGCTTCAAATTATTTCATGAGTCTCCCTGACTAATCACAATGACATGTACAAAGCATATTCACAAGATTATTAGTTAATATTCTTTGTTATTTGAAAGTTGTTTTTGAGTACATATATGCAATTTCGTCAATCGACGTTTGACCTACCGATATTTGAGCGACCCCGACATCAGACACTTTTCAATATGACTTTTTTCCGATCAGGAACATGATTGTTCACTTCGATAACAATTAATAACGATGATAATAACAATTTTTTTGTCATCCAATTATGAACTGAATTATTGGGAGATTTGTATAGAGCGAGGGTGGGGATGAGGATGGCGGGTTATAGATGATGCGATTCTCTCAAATATCGGGATCGCTCAAGTGTCGGTCGCTCAAACGTCGGTTAATCATGAAAGTTATATAATCTGCTTCAAACTGTGTAAACATTCAATTTTTCTATGGTTTTTCCCGTAACAGATGCAAATATAACTTTTATTTAGCATCGATTTTTATACAGTCACATACACATACTATAGGTAACTTGCGCAATGCATATAGTCGAGTAGTTACCTGTACTGTGTAAATTTTAAACTTTAGAAATGATTCGTGGTATTCATACTTCAACAAGAATATATTATTTATATTCTTCAATTATCGTTTGTGCTATTTATTTATTTGGCATTTCTTCATTTCTTTTTTTTATTAAACGGTAAAATGAATAGATTTGTATCTTTTCTCTCTTCTCTGTTTACTCTATTAAAACCATAGCTGTTGGTTGGCCCATACAGAATGAATCGTATTGCGTTCTGATCCTAGCCTTTTTCCTATCTCAATAAACAGTTTTTTTTCACAACTGCACCATACAATTTTCTACACAGGTATTGAGTATTTTAATGTATATGACACTTTTTGTTAGAAAGGGTTACACACTCTCCATTAACCTAGAGAGAAAATTTTTAATAAAATGTTTTTGTTCGAAAACCGAATGTTCAGTATGTTATTCAATCCAGTTTTGTCTGTTGATCTCAATTATGTTATTAGTTTTGCTGGAAAATATAAAGGAAGTGAAAAGGTCGCAAAATAAGTGAAATGGTGAAGATCAGAGGTTACTGAGTAATCTTTCTGACAAAACTTATACATAGTGAAGTTACTGTTTCACTTGAGACTAGTTTCGTCTTTATTCAAAAGACATCATCAGTTAAATGTTATAATACTTTCTAATATTCTAATTCTTTTTCAAATTTTTATTTGAAAAAGAATTAGAATATTATACTCGAATTTTCTATTCCAATGGCTATCCATTAAACATTGTAAAAAAGACGATTCGGGGTATCAAGTTGAACTTCAAAAAAAATCAAATAAAAAACAATTTTACTTCTCTATGGCTTATTATGCACAGTGTTCGTTAGTTTTAGCTAACCAGCTGAAAAAACTGATTTCACATCCAATAAAAGTGTTAACTTTTGGTTTCAGGACAGGACATACCTTGTCATCTGTATTTGGAAAAACATTTCGTAATACGATAGATATTTACGGATATACACAGCAAAAAGAAAATTAGGAATATTTATTCTCGAAAAACTTTTATTCTGAATGTTTTTTGATGACACATCATGTCATGTACGACTTAATAATGGACTATGTAACATTTTTCTTTTATATTCTAGACATGTGCTTCTTTTTTTTTCTATGCTGAAAAGGAGAAGAAACACCTTTTTGTCATCATTTGACTGATGATGTCTTTAGAATAAAGGCAAAACTATTATCGGTACCAAAATTCAAGACACTCGGTTGTTTTCCGAATAACTCCAAAACGATAAAAGATAGGGCCCTGCGATTTTCAACAATCGAAAGAAGACAGTTTAACCTATGTTTTTATAAGCAAAAAACCTTTTCCGAAAATTCATTCAGAAGACCGGTTTTCTACGAGATTTTTGGGAAAGCACTTCGGATCTCCGGAAACTGAGTTAGCAATCTATCAGTTTTCTTTCATAGATAGATCCTCTTCAAATGCGACTTAACCGAACTCTTAAGTTTTCTCGATTCAGACGTGACATCGGGTTTCTTGAGAGAGCCAAGATCAAGATCTTTAGGTGTGGTAATTCTGAAAATAATGAAAACATAGGTAATCAACCACGCTCAACAATCCAATGATACTACTTAACTTAGCAGATTTTTCTGCATCGATTGATTTAATTTTGAAGAAATTTTGCCGACAAACAACGAAGGTATAAAAGTAGGCGTAATTTATTAAAAAAATATTTTATTTTCGTATTTTTTTACATCTACGCTGAAACTCGTGGCAATATTTGTTTTCAGAAAACATCCAAAAACCTAGTGAAAATCTATATTGGGTAGAATAACCCATTTTTGCCTATTTTCCAATATAATTCGGATTTAAGATGTTAAATCAAGTTATTAATATAAGTCGATTAAATCACTTGCGTTGTTAGTCAAATTTTAAGTTTCTGTTTTAGATGGTTGCTACAGAATCTGATTACATCGAATTTCGGTTGTTCTTATTTCGTTTCATTTTGTGAATTCTAAGAAAAAAATCTAGCCTGTATTCTTATATAATTTCTTTCATCTTCATTTTGGTGAAATGACATGTCAGGAAAAAGAAATTCATCCAATAAAGTAATTAATACCAGATTCAAACGAGCTAAAATTGATAGTGGATCTGGTGATGCTACGGCAGCACCACTGACGTGAACACCAACCTCTAGTAGATACATCTTATACTCAAGCGGAAGAATCACAGAAGGAGTTGTTACGTCTTGCTTTAAAGCAGTTAGGCATTGATGCACCGCCAAGCTCTTCTCTCATTACCTTGAATGAATTTTATGAATTTAACAAACATAAACAAAGTACAGTTACCACAGTTCAACGTTAAGCAACGTTACAAAGTACAGCTGTTACATTTCCACCTCCTATAGAATCGATGACATCAGTGATGCCTGTCAACGTACCATCGAGTTCAACAACAGACGGAGCTGCTCATAAAGAAATAGAAAATGCTTTGCGTAAGTTGACTACAGTTGGTACTGTTGATGCTATATCAAATACTTCTTCCGAATTGCTAATGCAGAAACCAATACCTATGAATCAAGTAAAGCAAGATGCTGTTTATATCTCACTTCAGTTGCGAACTAGAATTTTGAGCGACGCGTATGTAAATCTGCGCTACTCTTGGTGCCGTGGGATGGAGGAAAATCACCAGATTTGGACTCGAATTAGTCTCTTTAGTGAAAAGTCACTATGATCCTCGATTGAGCCGTAATTTGAACCTTCCGGAGTTTCTGAAAGCGTTTCACCTTTATGTGTCAGTATTTTGTGGTTGTTATACCCATTGTTTTGGTGAATTTCAAATGTACCAAAATAACATAATTGAAATGACCACACAGTTTGATGATGGGTGCTTCTATGATTACCACCGTGCATTTGCAACAAAATGTGCAGCATTATTAAAAGCAGGAATTGTCGTTGATTGGAGCACGAGGGTTCTTGAATTGTACAGTACAATCGTTGCAGGTCGAAAAGCAAAAACATGTTCTGTTTGTGGCTCTGTCGAACATGCCTCTACTTCTTGTCCAAATTTCGACATTTCAACATCTGTTACAGTTGCACGTGAACGATCTACTGTTCAACCAAGTTCTACGCGTCCACTTCGTCCTCACGCGTTTATTGATGGCGCAGATAAAGAGATACGTGAATTATGGAATGTCAATCGTTGTCATCGTTCACGTTGCAGTTATCATCATGTTTGCAATAAATGTTTTGCAAAGCATCGTCAAGGTGGACGAAATGGCGAAAACTGTAGCCGAGTTGTTCGAAATAAATGACTAGTATTGTAATTTACTTTTAGTATTATAACAGTGTCTATCTGTTTGAATAAATTGTGAATGGGTCATTTTCCTTCCGCATTTAGAGTTTACGCTGCGTGGAACAACACCAGTTAACGTTGTTCAGTTGAAAGTAGAGCTAGCTAACCATCCTGACCAACAACTTGCTCAGTTTCTCGTGGATGGCTTCGTGTGTGGCTTTGATATTGGTTTATCTGAACTGCCTTCAACGTCTTTCCAGTGTAAAAATAATCGTTCAGCTTGTGATGCACTAAATGTCGTCGAAGATTTGATTCAGAAACAAAACAGATACATTGCGGTACCTTGGTATATGTTGGAATGGGTTTTACTATTTCTATACACATTTGGTCTTTGGATCTCGTTCAAGTCCGAAGATTTTTGACTTGTTTTCCTCAATAATTTGTTGGATTGCAAGAGAAAATTATGGTATTCGATTTATTTTACATCTGTTAGATGATATCATAGCGTTCCATCCTTCAGATGAAGTTGATGTAGATTTCGATGAAGTTGATGTAGATTAAATATTGCACCATCAAAATGTGTATAGCTGCTATCAAATATACCTATGTCAAAAATGGACTGTCGATTCCAGTGTTCGATTATCAACGTGCAGGCGCTAAAATGTATTTATTGATGAGAGCGATTAAACGACTTGAAAATACCACTATATGTCCACGACTTCCATTAACCTTTCCAGTTCTAAAACGTTTAATTCATCTATTATCTACTGGAATGTATACTCCTTATTGGGATTTACTGTAGCAAATAGTTATGATTTTAGCCTTTTTGCGCTGCTCTGAATTTTGTACGAATACCAATAGCTTTGATCCGGTAACCAACCTTTCGTTAGAAGACATTACTTTTAGTTCTTGTCAGACTCGAGCATATTTGCGTTTAAAAAGTTCTAAAACCGATCCATTCCGCCAAGGTGTTATAATCGCCTTGTTCGAAACTGGCAACCCTATTTGTCCTGTATCCTTTTTAAGGAGATTTTTAATTGTTCGCAAATTCTCTTTCTCTAATTCTACTGAACCAGTTTTTCTTACACCTCAGGCAATTCCACTAGTCCGCTCAGTGTTTATGGAGAAAACACGTCAGCTTCTACAGTAGTTAGATTAGGTTTCAATCCGCATTTGTATAGTGGCCATTCTTTTCGTCAGGGTGCCGCTTCTACAGCAGCGACGGCTGGTATTCCTCAACATGCTTTACGGGCACTTGGAAGATTGCATCCTCATTCAGATTGTATGTTGATTTGCCAATTAGTACTATTGAAGCAGCGCAGATAGCTCTCACGCAATAAACACTTCTTATTGGTCTGATGCCCCGCAACAACATGGACAGATTCCAATAAGAACTCTATCAATGTATGACGTTATCTTTGTATTTGTATTGTATGTATAGTTTGTTTATTGAGCTTCGTGTGAAGCTATAAATAAAGAAGAAGAAGGAAATACTTCGCTCTTCGACTCATAAAGGTTTAAGAGATAACATGAATTAAAAAATTCACAATCCAGCCAAGATCCACCGAAATTATGCCAGAATATCAAGATTCATTCTATTTTACCTGCTCAATACGATTTTTTATTTGAGAATAGTAACAAGATAACGTGAAACATGTAGTACATCACACGATCCCTTGACTTTATTCTGAATCTGACAGGAGAGTAATAAGCTGCACATCTATCATGAAGGCGCAAGAGGACACCTGAATGTCACGAGAATCAGATGAGTAAAGAAGATGGATAAGTTTGAGCTAAAAGAAGATCGGAAAAGACTTAGTTTTAACACATACTATACAAAACGGTAAATAATAGATATATCAATCATAACTACAGATAATACGGAAGGAGGATGTCAGGTCAGATTAAGGCCTAGTTATATGAGTATGACTAAGTTTTGATATGACATTTCACAGTAGGAACAAAGTCAACTATCTACATGTACAGAAACTAATAGAGTATAAAATAATTGTGTTCGTACAAGGTACTCTGTGCAATAATAGAAGAAAACCGGTCTTCTGAATGGTTTCGCAAAAGGTTTTTTCTTATGAAAACATAGGCTAAACTGTCTTCTTTCGATTGTTGGAAATCGCAGATCCCTATCTTTTATCGTTTTGGAGTTATTCGGAAAACAACCGAGTATCTTGAATTTTAGCCCCGATAATAGTCTCGCTCTTCTACGTATGTTTCAATCGTGGGTGCTCGTTCTCAATGAATTTCTAGGCCACAAAACACACTAAAAAATAATGTGTCGCAAATTGCGACATAATCAAATGCGACACCGGGAGCCACTTGCGACACATTTTTTCCATTGAGGCTGCGACACATTCCACTGAGTATTTCTACTATAAAGAAAACAGTGGAAATTACACATTTTTGATCTCTTATTCGATTTTCAGAATATTTTTAGTTCATATGAATTTAAATTCCAAAAGCAACCTATGGCATGGTATTTAGGAACGGATAGTAATAGTGATCAGCATTCAGTGAGAGCTATGACCACACAAAATTAGAAGTCACTAGCTATTATGGTTCTGGCGTTTCAGAGGATCGTTGCTTGTGTAAAGTACTGTAAGGCTCGACTGGCTTACTTTTTAGTTACTAGAAAAGCGAACAAAACAGGAGTTTATTTCTGAATTCACAGTGATTTTATTTGCATCTAACAGTAAAATTCTTGGGTGATGGATCACTAGGTTTAATTGTCTACTTACTACTAATTAATCTGACCTGAGTCGACGAGTTAAGTGTATGGAGGTGTTTTCGTTTCTCCCACTATTAAATGATATTATCTTCGATTTTAAGGCTATATTTAAATGGTTTCTTCCCGTTTTGCAGGCAAAGTAGTTAAGAGAAAAATATAGATTTTTATTCAAAAAAGCACAAAATATATAATGCAACAAAATGCACTAGAACCCTTTGATCCAAAAAACAGGTTTAATTTTAAGGCCAAAAAGAGTTCTTTTATGTACTCTAATCTCACAGGTACTATAAGTATTGATATCTTTTGATCTGTAAAATCAAATTTATGTTTTTTCTTAAATAGTTTGTTTGTAAGGCGGGAATAATTTTTGATAACTTTCTTGGATGCAGAATGAAAAATGATAAAACAATGAATAACAAAATTGCTTGCAAAATGAGCATGAGTTATCTAAATAGAGGAAGAATAACTGCATCAGTATATGAGTACTTTGGTACAAAACTTCGAATATTACTTCATCTAATATGTACTGAGAAGATATGCTAATCTTAGTAAATATAAACATATTATAAAAGTTTATCAGCACAGACCTTAGGTCTAAAGTGTAGCTCTTTCATTCAGACATGATGGACTAAGGTGGAGGTCGATGAAATCTATTTCCCAATTTTTCCATGTACGAGGTATGGGTCAGAGCTGGGACCGGGCCGGTAGAGACTGGTATTTCACCGGTTGAAACTTTTGAAACATCTGCGCTTTTTACCCTGTTTTTCGTCAAAAAACGAAAGGGAGGGGGGTTAACTTCATCAGAAAATGGCTCCTCGTTTTTTTTGCTTATTTTGACTCGACTATTGTAGAAAAGACGTTTGGCCACATTTTCCAGTTGTTCTTATGGAAAATAAGCTCAAAATACATTTTTAACGTTGATTATTTTGAGATTCCATCAGAGGACGTCATTGTTAAAAAATAATATTTTTGAAAAATTCAACATAGGTTTACACAAACCTTGATATGAAAAAATAGCCAGTGAAAAACTGAATAAAATACTCTACGAACAATCCTTATACATCATTTCAATAGGAAGAGATCATTTTTACAAAAGACAAATGAACTTAAAAGACGCTATCAGAGATATTTTAAGTACTTTTTTCTCCATATGTAAACGAAGATCCAACTTGTATTTAGTATAGAAAATTAGCCCTTGATTTACTCTACAGTATTTTATACAAAGAATCTTAAGTTAATTCCTCTCTTTTCAAATCTTTTTCAGTCAGAATAAATAAGACGATGCTTCAGACAGCTATTATTTTCATTATTTGTTTTAAGGTTAAATATTATAGACTCGTTATTGTGAAGATTCTCTCACATGTGCTCGCAAACTATTTCATTTCAGGAAGAAATTCGTTCTGAAAATCAATTTTAAAAAAGCTTCGCCATGTTTTCATCGGTATTTTACCGGTTTTTGCCGGTTTGAGTTATAATTCCAACCGGCCCGTTTACCGACCGGACCGGTTTACCTTTTCTCAACCGGCTCTAGCTCTGGTATGGGTCGTTAGTTACTTATCATTTGTCACATCAAAAGTTGTTGAAGATGAGATCGCAGAGATCTCGAAACACCGACAAAATAAAATAAATATATAGATAGCTTATTAAAATACTGTTTCTGCGCACATATATTCTCCTTTAGCTTGTCCGCGTATACAATGTATATTCAGTATTGTCCGTGAGTTCGCGTACGTTCAAAGGCGTTAGGAAACGGGAAGATGGGTATGGGGTGGATAAAATTTTCAGGTTTCCAGCAATTTCTCCCTTTACAAACTTTCATTCCTTATCCTTCCTCTTTCAGAGAAATTAAGGGAAAGAACGCAAAATAAGTTTTCTGCAATTTATTTCACATTATGTTTTCAACATATTCTTGAATAATGAATGCATGAGATGGATGTACGTGGTGTTAGTTTAAAACTTTCCCTAATATCAATTGCTCTCATGTACATGTTTAAGTAGTATAGATTTAAAACTATTTCTAGTAAGAAATCTAAAGAGGATAGATTTTTGGTTTTTGAGAATTCTTGTTAGAGAACTAGACATATTTCAAGATTTTATGGTTTTTGAAGCTTTCTTATTTAAAAAAAACGTGAGATTCGTAATCTACCTAAAAAATACAGCAAATAATATTTTTTGACAAATGTTTCTCAAAGAAAGAAACTTTATTCAACAGTGTAGACCTCGAACTCCCGCTAGGCATTCTACAAAAAAAGCAGTTGACATGTTTCGAAATGTTTTTTGAATAAATGCAATATAAATTGCGAACAACTTATTTTATGACATAATATGTTCTTAGGTAGATATGTTCTCTAACATTAGCACATTTATATCAAAGTGATATAAAAAAATAGTGATTTTATTCATTCAAAGTGTTAATACTCAGTGAAATGAGTCTGAAACAACATAATTTCGAAAAAAAGGTATTCGGCAGATTTCTGAACATGTTTCTTAAAGAAAATATTACCAAGAGACTCACCTTTAGTCAATATCCGACGTTTCAATTCATTTTTTTTAAACGAAAACTGGAGCTGAAATAGAGTTCCCACACACAACCTTATACCGGTCCTGGAACACATATGAAACTCGATGTCACGTCCAAATCACAAAAAATGAAGAAACCAAGGGATTCTCGTTTTCAAGAAGTCACGGAGGGACGGTTATGTTCCTGTTCTTTTTTGAAAATTATTAAAAATAAAAATTTAGTTCCACTACTATTTATCCTAGATGTTTTTAGAGTAGAATTGTCCAACAGAATTTTCACTGCAAAATGAGATACACCAAGATATGAATTCTCATTTGATAAAGTGAAAAAATAACGACAGTTGAAAGCACCTGATTATTCGAAATTATTCATTGATTCTGTAACTATGAGCGGAGCCCGTTTCTGTCCAAATATGAGCGAACAAAAACGGTATATAGTATCGATATATCATAACGGCAGAACCCCACCAGATACAATCGTGCAATAAACTAACAGTTTATCTTTGTAATCGTCTATAAATAAAAACCAAAACATATATAGCAGGATCTTTGCAGTAACGATCGCTATACTACGAAGACAAATCGAAATGGGAAAAAAACATTTTTTATAATAGTCTCAGAAGAATGGGATGAACTTTTTGATATTTACTAGCAATTCAAACCTCAAAAGCTAGGTTATATGATAAAATGAACAGAAGTATAGATTATTCAAGTTAAAAAATTTAAACTGTGGACTTTTTCATCTTTATACGATGCATTTAAAAGTCGAAATTCTACAACTAATTTATTATCTTTCTGTAAGAAGTTGTGTAAGTTGAATAATAAACATTAATACTGCAATAAAGCGTTTTAATTAGACGACAAAAATCTTATCAATTCAACAGTAATCTTTTTTGAACTCAACACTACCTTTTTTAACCTAAAGTGTTTAAATTGTTATACCAAAAGTGCTCTTTTCAACAATCTGTTTCTCTATCACCATCTGTGTTTTTTCTCTTTTACTACTGTTTGTTTTAGAAATAAGTCACTCTCATCTCTCCATTACAACACTATTTCTTATAATCGATGCATGCATCCGAGTGTATGAATGCTTCTTATTCTTTTACTTTTCAATAAAATTTTTTTTATTTAAATCAGTTGTTTAACCAATGACACCTGGTATGGGATTATCTCGATATGTTTGAGACTCTTTACAAGGGGTATACGACTATACTGCTTAATATTTATATATCAATTGAAACATGATACAATTGTTGCGTAATATATGAATAAAAATTATTACAATTCCTAATGTATGCAACTGAGCTAATATGTCTTGATTGGTTAATATCTCTTGATAATCGAAACAATGTCCAAGAACATAAATGTGACCGTTACAACATGTTATCTGATCGTCCTGACATACTTTTGCAGAATATACAAGATAAGTTTCTATACTATATTCAACAACATTCCATGATTCAGTACACCAACGTGTACATTTTGACCATCCCAAAAAGCCGCAACCGTCATAACCACATCGATGTTTTTCATAAAGAGTCACCTAAAAATTCAAGTTAGTTGTCAGAATATTACTTTAATCACTGTATCATTAAAAATCTTAATTTAATATATTTATATCTTCTGTGATTTTCACCATACTATTGTCTTTAAAGAATAGAGAATTTGTTGAGAGGTAGTGAGTATGGAATGAAGATGCATTACATGGAGAAAAAGGCATATAAGCTAAAGAGTATCAACAGTTTATTCACAGAAAGGATTCATCAATACTTCTTCCATGGAGCTATTGAGTATAGAAATATGACCTTGAGTTATAAGTAAAACAAAAGATATAGCTAAGTTTTTATATAACTCAATGTCATATAACTTGAATTCATTCATATTCATTTTTAAATATTCAAGACAGTGTGAGAATAATTCAAAAGAAAATATATTTTACATCATGACTTATTTGTCTCGTTTGAATGTGCGATTGTACACCCGGATCTATTTTGCAACACCAGTTTGATCTTGCATGACGTGACAGATGTGATGATGTTGCGTTTCTCAAAATGTTCAATATAAACAATTTATCTACTTCTGATAAATGATCAATTTGAAATTGAAAATTATTTTCTACTGATAATGTTGATGATGATGATGTAATTACAACAATTAAAAATGTAAAGGTGAAAAGTTGACAGAACTTTTGATTCATCATCAGTAGTGTTCTATTGTTAATACTTTTTCTTTCGTAATGTATGTTTGGGGCATTTAACAACTGAGATGAGAGAAAAACACCTGCTATTTTCGCAAGATTATACAATGGGTGAAATATGGCATGATTTTAAAAAATGTTGCATCCAAGTACATTTGTTTAGATATCTTTTATCTAATATTAGTTAAAACGATTGTTGATTGTTTTATAACAGTATAAAAAATGTATGAGAAGGAAACGAATAAGTATGGTGATCCAACATAGTCATGACATTTCCCAGATTGATTTCCTACGATCGTAAACGATGACTTACGATCAAACAAGGTCGCATTCCATGCAAATATACTACATTATAGTATATTAACGTCGTAAAAAGTCGTACACGATGGTCGTAGACGTTTTTGTTACAGTCGTCATATACGACAATGTATTGCGTCGAAATGTATATGACGATTTACGACCAGATATAGTCGTTTACTATCTCATTACGAGTGTAAACCAATCTTAAGTAGATAAATATGACGATCGTTTCCATTGTTCTGGATAAATAATAGTTGCTGTTCTCTTTGGTGACACAAATGTAAATTTTTTTGTCTTTCTATTGAAATTAAGCAAGAATTATGAATGATTTGCGAGCATTTTGACTTGAAATGAGATGCTAATATATATGACGTACAAAATATTTCGTAAAACCGTTTTAGAATGAATCATCACACACTTTTGCGGTGACTAGTTTTGATCTTCGTAACTAACAACTACTAGTACAATTCGTTGAATAAGTGCAATAGCGACATGAATTATAGTTCACCGTATATTACTCACTAAGAAAAATTAGTTAGTACGAATATATAGTTTAGTCAAATATACAGTTCTATAAACAACAAAATAAACTTAATTTCATTTGTAAATAAAAATTTTTTTGTTCATTCATATATTTCAATAAAAACAAAAATTAGTTCGATATGTTTTTCAAGTATACACACAAGATCAATGTTTTTTTTCATTTGTTCAACCAACTAGTTAAACAATTAAAATGCAAATGTGTATGCGATGTCAGAAAAAGAGAAACATTTTGTATTAAAAAATAGAAAAAGAAGAGATAAAAGACGATAGTTGATCGATCTCTCATGGTTGTCCTGGTGTGCAATTGTCGTCGTCTAATAGAAGAAGAGGGAAAAAAATTTAATTGTAACCATTTAACTGTTGATCATATACGCAAACAAACAGAAGAAGAAAAAAAATCAATCGTTGTTGTTATTCTATAAAACTGCTACTTTTTTTACTTGCATATATTTTTTACATTAACGACATTATTATAATAGCATTATGACTTAATCTAGTCTAGTACAAGCAAAAAAATCTAACTGAATTCCATTAAAATTTTTTTTATTTTCTACCATCAATTACGTCTATCAAATCATATCATTCATTTTATTTAATGAGTACAGTATTACCTACCATTGTTCACACACAACAACCGAAACAACGACGAATATCGACAATAACAAAAAATTCAAGAGGACAAGTGGTACGAGTAATAGTAGTATCAAATAATAAGAACAATCAAGTAACAACCGATGGTACGAATGATACAAGCGATCAACAACGGAATGGAATTATAAAAAAACCGTATAACAAAGAACGACAACAACAACAACAACTACAACTGAAAACATTACTAAATCATAGTGTAACAAGAAAAAACGCTATGGTCAATGGTGCTAGCAATAAACTACAAAATCCAGATACAGTGACACCACTAAATGGTTCAAACTCAACAAGAGCCAACTCAAGTGAAAGTGGTAGAATCGTAAGTAGAGCTTTAAATCAATATGTAAGAAAGTAGTATAAAAGAACTAGAATCACTGACGCTTGGCGATCTTTATTTGTCCGAATTTTTTTGTATTTTCAGGCAAGAAAATTGTGGTGGAGTCCTAAACGACATGAAATTCAAGTAAAATCAGAAGATACTAAATATCAAAATATTGGACCAAAAGTGGGCAGTCTAGCTAATATCAACTATAAACCCGGTGGCGGAAATGTGGTTATCAGTGGCGACAAACCGAAATGGACAGCGAATGCTAAAGTAAACTCATTACAAAATGCCAATTGGTCACCACCATTACCACGAATAGCGGTAAAAAGCGAAAAATTGACTTGGAATGCTGAGCCAAAAATTGGCTCAATGGCAAATATTAATTATCGACCTGGCGGTGGTTCGATATCGATTCGCGATGAACAGTTGGATTTTCGTGACAAAGCGACACCACGCGTAGACTGTGGGTTTGTTGACGACAAATGATGATTGTCAAATCTGTTGATTCTAAATGTATCATGTTATAAAATAATTCTGGTCAAATTTTCATTATTATACAAATTATAGCACGTATAGATACATAAATACAGCTATCTAAATCAAGAAAAATAAAAATTCAGAACTTTAAAGAAATATGGGGTTTGAAGATTTGATTGTACTTGCATTGTGATAAATAAAAGCACTGTTCATCATAGCATCAACATCTTTTATGTAGTAATTGGTAGTTTGTAAATATTTAGAATTTTTTTCATAAAAATCAAGCCTTGGGTAGGAAAAAAAATTAATTACACCATGTTGTAGGACATCACTTGAAAATATGCAAAAGATTATTGGGTTCGTACTTTACCGCTATTGTCATCAGCTAGACTTACGTTAAAGTATCACCAGATAATAGAGTACCGTTACTCGTTTGGAAGTTATAAAACTACAATATGAATATTTGCCTAAAAATGTTTCCCATCACAGTATAAGATACTATTTAACATCTGAAGGCTGTTGTTTTAAAACAGTATTGTCTCCGCTTCTGTGAAATATGTACACAAATCTACTATCCATTTCAAAACAGAGTGTATCTCGTTATCTTCTGAATGATTGTTGATTGAAAAAAGATAGCTACTAAATGAAAAGTATCGCAGGTGTCTAGGACCTTATGGTACAAAGTAATAAAAAAATTAAGTAAAAAGAAAAAATCATTGTCCGCATTGTATTTGATGTATCTTATCCATGTTTAGAGTACAAAGTTACCACTGAAAAATCTCTCATACATCTCACAACGTCGCTTCACAGTTCAAAGCGTTTTCTAGATGTCCACACAAACATGAATCATGTCTCTCTCTCTCTTTCTGTATATATATATATATATATATATATCATGGTTAAGACGAGACATCGGATTTCATAAAATCGATGGATTGATCTGATTTGACATGATGAGAGCCCTCAAACTATTGGAACATAAGTTATCGACCATTCTACAGCTTGGTGAAATGTTTACTTTTAGAGAAAGTTCAAAAATTAAAAATTAGTTTTAGAGACAATACTCACATGTTTTTGGACTATGTTTATAGAGTATAAAAATCTCATTGCACACTGAAAATCAATCAAAATGACTCAAAAACTTTCACAATATGTTGAAGATAGAATAATGAGAGCATATAAGTGAAGTTTTTTGGCGCAATGCTATGTATCAGTCTTAGCAAAGATCAATAAATATATACTGAAATTTTCATTTTATTTGAATTGATTGTGAGTGATTAATAAGGCTCTTAGTATTATCTAGATCTATTTAATGTCTATCAAAAGTTATTGAAAAGATAACGGAGTATATTCTATTTTAAAATAGATTGTATTGCTCTCTTTAGTTTTGTGCTTAAAGCAGTGGATTTTTTTATCAGTGAAAGAGATCATATTTCAATTCTAGATTCAAACTTAATAATAATTAATAATAATAATCAATCTTTAATAATTCTCATTAGTCACATTAAATTGTTTTCCTTCATAAACGTTGATATATTACATATTTTAAAAAAATTTCTAAGAATGTTTTGAATTGATTTTCTACTTGTTCAATACATCATTAAACTTGATATATAGCCTATAATACTTAATTCTGTTATTTGCACTATAGTATTCGTTAAATATACTGGTTATGACTACATTTTCTGCTTTGTTCTATATTAATTAACTGATGATGAAAAATAAATTTATTTAAAATCATTGTTCAGTAATGAATATGTTAAACAGATCGAAAAATGACTCACGAGGGAGCCTCTCAAGATGCTCACTTCCGATTCCAATGACTTGTACATGGATCGATAGATCTCAGTGAGGTAGTAAATGCCCAAAAAGGATTCGGGCCCATGACTCTGGACTTCTGGAAAACCAGTTTATCAGAAACTCTAAAAAATAATCAAAACCTTTCTTAATGGGGCATGATTGTGGCCCGATAATTACTGATTAAAATGAGACATCTTCCAGCTCTACACGACCTTTCTTTACAAAGTTATAGAATTTACAAGAAAAGCTCTAAATTAATTTCTTCTTATTCCTGTAGCTTTGAGCTGACAATGAACATTTACGGTTTTTCTTGTAAATTCTATAACTTTGCAAAGAAAGGTCGTGTAGAGCTAGGAGGTGTCACCAACAATTTTCGACCCACAATCATGGCTCATTAAGAAAAGTTTTGGTTATTTTTTAGAGTTTCTGAAAAACTGATTTTCCAGAGTCATGGGTCCGAATCCTTATTGGGTATTTACTACCTCACTGAGATCTATCGATCCATGTACAAGTCATTGGAATCGGAAATGAACACATCTCGGGAGGTTTCCTCGTCAGACTGAAACCATTTAGTTAAATACTTAAATAGTAGACTTTCATTCAATGAAGTTGTTTAAGTAAAAATTAATAAAAAGTATACTAAATAAGAAAAAGTTTTTTATCTGCTTATATATACCGGGAGTCATTTTGTTACCAAAAATATACCAAATCTTTGATTTCAATTGCAACTGGCATAAGAAAACAGTTAATAATAGAGGCAGTATGAGATATTTGATTTTGTGTATATCATTGTGTTGATGAATCAGATGTGAAAACGACGTTCAGAACTATTTACCATTTGTACATCTAATTACAAAAGTCTTTTGCACATTTCGTGATCCTTTCCAAAAGTTCATTGTCAGTGTCCAATTAATAACTCTTTCTAAAATGGAACAAAATAAATTAAACATGTATACTCTAAAAAATAATAAATAGCATTTAACAAATTCTTTTGTGTTCGTGAAACTATTTTTCCAACAAAATGACTTTCCTTGTATTTGCTCTTAGCGAGACAAAAGAAGAGAGAACGCTTGCTAAACATTTTATTTCAAAAGAATAAAACAGGATGAATTTGAGTACAATAGTTTTTTAGGTTAAGGTGCTTATGACTGTGTGAAGAAAAAAGATAATATTGTCAGTGTGTAAGAAAATAATTTTAAAATAAGTATTGATAAATTTATATCGTCTAGATACTAACAATATCGTATTTCTTCTCCAAGTTAAATAACTTGTCTTATTCTTTTTACAGTTTAGTATAAATAAAAAGAATGTTTTCTTCATTATATCGGGTAGGCCATAAAGAATGAGCCTCTCAGTATTTTCCCTTTATCTCTTGATAGTTCAGTCTCCTAGAGTTTATTCTTTTTTTAAAAGATGCGCTGTTCAATTCTATACATGTTCATATGTAAATAGTCCTGTTAAAGTTTAAAGCCTCAGCTTTGATCGAAGAAAAGCAATAGTCATCCAGAAGCCTCAACTTTCTAATACAAAAAAGTATTTTTTTCAAACAGGAAGCCGGACTTTCTGATAAAATGAATTCTAAATAGTCGTCTAAAATGTAGCTCTTGAAAAATTCTATCGACTGAGTGATACGAAAATTTTATATCATTACTTTTGCTCTTTTGCTTTTATATCATCACTCCAAAAGTCAACGGGAACAGCTTAATTTTGATTCCACCGGAAAGAGCACACTTGATAGTACAAGTCAATATCCAAGTGTCGGGTTAGCCAACCACTAGTATGATTTTTACTGTGCATCAAGTACATAAAAAACTTTTACAAAGTTGAGGCTTCTCGACGACTGTTGTTTTTCTTCGACAAAAGCTAAGGCTTTGGCCTTTAACAGACTATTTATATACGATCATGTATAGAATTGAACATTGTATCTTTTAAAAAAACGAATTCTAGAGGACTGAAGTATCGAGAGATAAAGGAAAAATACTAAGCGGCTCATCTTTATGGTCCCACCCACTATTAACCTTAAATATTAAATTATTAAAATTGATTGTTTGACATTTGGTACATGTTTTGGGAAATATGTTTTGTACAATTATGTCAATTTTTATATTATTCATGGTCATAAATCATATCTTAGTGTCCCCTTCATTGACGTTAATTGAGTACTACTTTGAGTACTACATTATCAACTAAAAATTATCTTAGTAGAATAATATAAAAAATTAAAAAAAAATCCACTACCACCAACTAGACAAACATGGATAAGATACATCAAATACAATGCGGACAATGATTTTTTCTTTTTACTTAATTTTTTTATTACTTTGTACCATAAGGTCCTAGACACCTGCGATACTTTTCATTTTTTTTTTTTTTTTTTTTTTTTTTCCACTCACCATAGTACAAAAAGAAAAAAAGAGAAAAACATACACACCATACTTTTAGTCTATGATATCTTAAATGGTTTCAACCACACATAAAAAGAAATTATTTACTTCGAAAATAGTCTATAGCATGTCCATGGCTCAAGGACATTGTGATGATGTATTGTAGTCAAGTGATGGAGTCCTGAGAAGACAAGTGAGAAAACTAGAGTATCGTCAAGTTAGTGTTTTACCGAATGTTGTTATAATTTATATAACAAGTTTGATACCGGTTTTTCTTTTTCTTTTTTAATGAAGAATAAGTGTATTTAATCGCATCTATGAATCAAAATATTTAGTGTAAAGTATAGATACAATCTCACTTAATTTATGTCAATTAGTGCTATGTACTTGAAACATTCTTTTGATTATCGAAGGTTTTTATGGTGTTGATTTAACAAGTAATATTAGCTACAGATAAACATGTCCCTCATATGATAAAATGTCTTTTTTTTTTTGCACACACATTAATTGTTGAAATTTAACAAAATAAAATTATTGATCATGATTATAGACATATATATATATATATATGTATATTCTGTAATCAGTATCCAAACGTGACAAGTGTAGATATACAATTGACATATTATACTCTTTGAATGGTGAATATTTTTAATATTTAAAGAATAAAAAGAAAAAAAAATAGACATGTTGATTATGACATATCACAGCGGCAGACACTTTTTTTTTTCTTTCTTTTCTTAGGCAAACAATAACAACAACAACAACAGAATTTTGATTCTCGCCTCCAAGAAGACCTTGTTGTTATTGTTATTTTTCTATCGTATTTAAATTCCAATCATTTTTCTTTCTTTGATCTTTGAAATGACGATATTTTTGAAAGTATAAGACTAAATACATATAGGTTACAGACGATAGAAAAAAGAAAATAGTAAACATTAAAAAAGAAAGCAGTTGCAAATCTTTCTTCAAATCTTTTCTTTTTTTTTTTTTTGTATGTTCAATATTATAACGTGAAAAGTCGTGCTCACAAATCAGTTATAAAGCCCTATGTGCGCGCGCACACCTGAAATAATATATATATATGTATATATTATTGCCATTTCTCTTTTTGTTTTCTAACACAAATTATTGTGATGAATGCATACAAAAGGTATGAAAAAATACACATAGACGAACACAAAAAAAGAAGAAGTAAAATAAAAATAATAATATGAGATTAAGAGATTTTTTTTGGTAAACATTACTGTACGTAGAAGGGAAGAGAAACACAAAAATTGATAAATAAATTGATGGAGAAAAAAGAAGAAAGGCAAGCTGACGTTGATGTCGTAACGAAAGACTAGTGATTAACATTGGATATTGAGCCAGTTTCACACCTGAGGGTAAGCTAAATATAAATGACATTTTCATCGTATGCAAACTGTTCCTTTAAGTGAGATAATACATGAGTCCACTCGATTTCTCGAGTCTCTGTCTAGACTTTTAGAAGAATTTTTTCAAATAAAAACACACTTGCAATACAACGAAAAGTTAAGTCGTAAAAAAAATAATTTTTTTATTAGTTTCGAGAATCAGATAGGTTCAAATATGCAACATAGACGAAATATGATTTAAAAAAAACAGATATCCAAAATATCTGTTGAGAATATTGACAAATGTGTTTGTTTCTAACTATCAAACGAAATTTTATCGTTTAGCTTTATACTAGCATGGGAGATATTGACACGTTATCATAGTGAAATAATTATTTCACATCTTACTCTCAAAGAACTATAGCATAAGAAGTTTAATAAATAAATCGTTCTTTAATTCCTGTCCTTGGATCATCTTTTTTAAGCTTTTTTCTGATCTTTGCATTAGAATCAATCATCTTGGTGCAAGATTAGTATCTTCTCTTATTATCGTTTAATTTACATTTTAAACACGTTTTTAACATCTCTTTCTTTTAAAAAAAGAAAATGATGAAGAAAGAGATGGCGAAGATCGTTGTTTTGAAATCGGGTAATAGAAAAAAAAATTTTTTCTTGTATATATCATATAAAAACGTACATGTACTGATTATTAAACATGAACAAATTCTTAAAAAATGAAATTTGAAGACTGTAGTGAACGCGATCCATCCGAGTTTTAATTAAGCAGAAAAGTACATATACAACACACTTATAAAAAAAAAAGAAAGAAAAATCGTAAAAAGAGAAAGAGAGAAATGACAAATACAGATGTTCCTCTATTGTTTGTTTCATGTTTATTTGTCATATTTACTCTTTTTCTTCTCTTTATTCAATGTCAAATGTTTTTCAATACTAAGAGAAGAAAGAATTATCGAGATTTCTTTATTAATAATCAAAAAATTGCACTCTTTGCACATAGGTTAGAGAATTTAGTCTAACCACAAAACTGTGTATTTATGTACGGAAAACAATAACTATGTGTTCATTTCTTTTTTTTTTTTTTATGAAAATTATTACGTGATATTTTTCTTCATTCATATTTAGAATAAAGGAAATAATAGTAGTCTATTCGGGAAAAAAGAATTCTTTTTCTTTCATTTATTGTGGTTTATACCCGCATGTTATCTTAACAAACAAACGTATAATAGTAGAATAATAAATGTCATATATATGTTTGTTCGTCGTTCATCAAATTGCTATATTGTATAAAATTTTATTTCACGTTTTTATTTCTATTTCTTTCAGACAATGGGCAGCTATTGGGAACAATATTCTCATCATGGACGACCATTATCAGTGGCATTAAATGAGCCATTAGATCCGTATGAAACATTTGGAGATTTTTGTTATCATAACAATAATCAGAATGTTATTGATACTCGAAATAGAAGTAGATCATCTGGTAGACGATATAACAGAGAATGTTATAGTAAGTGGAATAAATTTATTTTAATATTGTTCATAGAAATTATAAGAACATCCAGATTTTGAAGATAGATAAATATTTTTTTTATTCTCTCATCACAGAAGTTCATTTGTGAATTTATTTAAAAAAAAGAAGAAAAAGATTGATAATGATTAATGATAGAAAATAATTTTAGGTCTACAATACATTACTCCACCACCATTTATTCCATTTTATCCACAACGACATCGTGAACGAGAAATGCTCGTAGAAAAAATAGGTAACTTATCTGTTGAAATTAGAATTTTTATATACTTAATTATGTCATAATTAAATTAGAAACTGTCACAATTGAAGAACAATTACGTCCTCCTCCAGTATATCATCCACCATTATGTATACCCGAAATTCGACAATTAAAAGTTCGAAAACCACCAAGACCCTCATCATGCTACAGTATATATGGATCAGGTAGAAAATCTAAAAACAATTCCTTTATATATATATATATATGAGAAAGAAAAAAAAAATAAGTTGAGAGATTGGTAAAGTAATATTTGTAAAGTCTCATGAAATGAGTGCACAATTTTAGATTTTAGACACTCATCGTCATGAATCACATTGGTCAAAAGTCGAGGAAAAAAATCATACTGTGACAAATGATCGAATTGTACCAGGTACATACATTCTTATCTTAAAATAGAAATATGTTTTTTAAATTTTCAAGAACCATCATGTACAACTATTTCAAATTTAGTTGAACGTGTTATTAGTAATAAAAAAGATGTCATGACATCGACCGAAGATCTTCATGTTTCAAAGAGTAGGAAAAGACAATTACATAATTATCTTTTTCTCTCAAAAAACAAAAATTTTTTTTCTTCTATAGAATCAAAAGATGCGGGAACAGATACCACAGGTTTACCATCAAAACCAAGAAGACCATTGTGTAAAACTGGTAAATATATAATAAATCGACAATAATTAATTCATTTATAAATGTTTATTTATTTAGAAACTCAAATAATTGAACGTTATGAGCAAACAGAAAATCGAATACCAATCGTGTATACTGAAGAGTCATATTCATATAAAGGTAAATAATTAGAATAAATTATTGAAATAATTCATCTTAGAAATATTTATTAATAGAAATCTATAATAGAAATAGAAACTCTTCTCCATCAACTTTATGTAACTAAATCTGATTTTTTTTCGTCTATTTCAATTATATGACTGTCTACATTCATGTACTTGAGTATCAATTAGAGATGGGCGAATATTCTTCTCGATTACTTCAGTATTCTTCAGTAAATGTAAAACAGAAGACAGAGATCAGTTTTATGTCTGATCGATGTAGTTTTTTTCCGTGCTATAAAACTATATAAAAAAAGACGTATAGTGAGACAATTTCTAGGAAGTTCCATTTTATATAGTTTTTGTAGCACGGAAAAAACTACATTGATCAGACATAAAACTGATCTCTGTCTTCTGTTCTACATTTCGAAAAATATAGAATACTGAAGTACTCGAGAAAAGTCCTCTAACGAGAATAAATGGTAAAAATATTAAAAAAAAAACTTTTTAGTTTTTTTCTATTTTATAAATTTTAAATTCGATTCTTTCTCAGTTCTGTGAAAATTTATAAAAGACGAAGAAAACGAAAAATTCTTTTTTAAATATATACTATTCTATTTTTTGTCACAAATGTTGATAATAATAATAATAATAATTTAATTTTTTAAGATGGATCAATGAAACGACCGTTGCAAGGTTATTATGACGGTACGTATAATCTCTTTAAATCAATATAAATTTAGCTTCTTCTTATCATGCCTTATGATAGAAGGAGGGGGCATAGCTTAAATCTTTTCATTCTCTTTGCTTATTTATAGATAATAATGCCAAACAAAATAGTAAAAAAACACAACGAAGAGATTTTGTTGAAAGAATGCATTCTAAAAATGGTAAATGCTTTTTATTTTGAGTAGACATAAAATAAATTTTTCTCTCTACACTTTAACTAAGTGGATCAAATAGACGTGACTAATCGTTTAAATTATTTGCGTTATTTAAGGTACATTAAATAAAACAGTTAACATTTGGACAAGTGATGATCGAAAAAATGAAAAAAATCGTATAATTATTCGTCCAACATCAAAACCAAGAGAAGTATTAGTAGATACAAGCGGTATATTTAGTGGTGCAGATTTTTCTGAACCAACATCTCCACAACCGGATACAAATAAACGCATCACATTCACTTCAAGAGAGTTATTATAATATTTGTATATTCAACTAAGTGTCCATATTCATAAAAAAGCAATTAACGTTTTACTTTTATTGTTTCGTCCAAACTAAAAATTTTGGTTTCAGATAATACATATATTATATTTTATTCTACTTGCCTCTTTTGTTCGGTTCTCTCTTCTTCTTGTTTTTTTTTTTTTTCTTCTTTTTTCGAAGGTGGCATTCATAGATTAGTATATTTATTTGGATAACGAAATTTAAGAAAAACCTTTTCTTGTCAACAAACAAATATATAGATAAAATGGAGTTTTCGTATTTCTGTAGAGAAAATATTATAATATTTTATGAAAAACCATACGACATTCGTTCGTTGTTCCTCTTTGCAATAGAGATCTCTGGAAGAATATTTCGAGAGAAAAAAAAAGTAAAGTATAACTTTTCTCTCCTCGTTTAAGTGAATTCTCTAAGACGAAATGGTTCAACATAGACTAATGTATCTTGAAAATTCTAGTTTTTTTCCTAGAAATTGTCTTATAGTAAAAATGATTTCGAATACAAGTGTACATACAAAGTGTGTGTATTGATGAAAAAAGGTTTTTGAAATTTGTACTTAAAATTCGTGAGAAACGAACATATTACTCTAGCTAAAAAGTTTTACAACCACGAAATGGTCAGTGTAATCATTCTCATCCATTGCCGACTCTATATGATCTCGATCAAATTGTGTCGAAATATTTTACTTTTCATGTGGCCTAGGAAGGGGTCCACAGAAAACTCTATTTTGCTCAACGAGAGATAAATTAAAATGAATGTGATACCCGTAATAACCTCATCGAATTGTATCGAATGATAACATAATTTAAACTTTCTTTTGAAGAAAAAATTGGATGAAAGTATTCTATAAGACAGAAATCTTTTAAAAAAATAGTTTATTTTTCCACCTCTTGACATAGTCTAAATGGTATTGAGCACTATTAAGATAGAGATAAATGTGTCTGCTAATAAAAAAGAGTATGTCCGGTTGATAAGAGAAAATTCCGTTATCTCAAACAATTTTTTACAATACATCTTCGATAATTGGAAAATAATTTGTTTCAAAACATCACAACATTCGATTTTGAGAGGAAACAGCCAACATTTATAGATACAAATGATCATCAAAAAAACAAAAGATAGTTTCGATCATCAAATCGTGAATCTTCACGATTATTCATTTCTCAATCAATATACAAAAATTTCCACAATATGAAGAAAAACAACATATTTAAGAATGGAAAGCTGCGCTAACTATCTTCGAATGTCCTTTACTTTTTCGTTTCCCTAATGATTAAACTAAATAGGTGTTTTTTTATTATCAATTTGATACCAGTGAAATAAAGTAGATAATCCATTCAAATGCTTACGCGAATATTGTTTCATACCAAGTGGACATACATAACACTGTAATGGTACGGATAACAAATAAGACTGTTATAAACTCAGAAAATCATTGAATGTAAGACTGATGAGAATGGTAAATGTCTAGCCAGGTCAACGATTTAATTGGCTTTAACTAACTTTAGTATCAAGTTAGTGATAAAAAACATCTATTTAGTTTAACCGTTAGGAAAACAAAAAAGTAAAGGACGTTCAGAGATAGTTAGCACAGTTTTTCATTCTTAAATATGTTGTTTTTCTTGCATTGTAGAAATTTTTGTATATTGATTGAGAAATGAATAGTCATAAAGGCACTGATCACAATTTGATGATTATTTGTGTCTAAAAATGTTAGGTGATCAAAAAGTTCGTCCACATTCGATGTGGTGTTTT